TTTGTTTGTTTGTGATAGGGTCTCACTCTGTGGCCCTGAGTTGAGTGCCCTGGTGTCATAGCTCACAGCAACCTCAAACTCTGGGCTCAAGCATCCTGCTGCTTCAGCCTTCCAAGTAGCTGAGACTACAGGTGCCAGCCACAACACCTGGCTAGTTTTCCTATTTTTAATAAAGACCGAGTCTCACACTTGCTCAGGCTGGTCTCAAACTCCTGAGCTCAAGCTATCCACCCTTCTTAGCCTCCCAGAGTGCTAGGATTACTGGTATGAGCCACCACACCCGGCCTAGGCTCAGATCATTATAAACAGATTTTTTTTCTCACCTACACAAATATTTGTCAAGGGTTGTTAAAAGCCCAAGAGAATTTAGAATAATTATTCAGTAGGATTTCCCTGATTGTTTCCCACTAATGCCGGGAGCACCACTACTAGTGACTACCAAAAATACACCCTGAAGTTCTTACAGCCCTAGGGGGCAGTATTGCCCCACGGAGAAGCAGTGCCCTAGGTCACCATACCCAGTCCCAGGGCTTGTAATGCCATCTCCAAGTTAAGTTTGTCCCCAGTGAAGTCTCCATGCTCATGGCTCCCTAAGTGCCAGATTCTAGACTCCTGTCCAACTGCCTTCCTGCCTGGATACCCCACAAGCATCTGAAACTTCACTTGCATGAAATAATTCTTGGCCTTTTCCCCCAAGCTCTTCCTCCCTTCCTTACTTTGGTAAATGACACCACTATCCACTTAGCTGCTTTCTCAGAAACTTAGTAGTTATCTTTGACTGTTCTCTTGCGTCCACATACGTCACATCCATCTATCCTCAAGTCATCTCCCAGCCTGCTGCTCTTTACCCCTGCCCCACTACCACCAAGTCCTACCCAGCCCAGCCTCTTCCTCAGAGGCCAGTCTTTGCCTGGTAGTCAGCAGTCTTTTTTTAAACATAAATCCAATCATGTCCACCCACCCACTGGCAACCCATCTGTGGCTGCATAGTGCATAGGACCTGGTCCTGAATCTGTCTGTGCTCCCAGGACATACTGCTATTCACCCTGTGCATCTCCACAAGCACACTGAGCTCCGTCCTGCCCCAGGGCCTTTGCAAAGACCATTTCCTTTCTTCAGCTGTTCTTGCTGCACTGCCCAGATGGTTCATCCTTACTTCCTGCAGGTACCAGACGCATATAAACCTCATCTGAAGCCCGCCCTGATGTTTCTAGGAATTTTCCTAGGCCCAGTGCAGTGGCTCACACCTGTAATCCTAGCACTCTAACCCTAATACTTTTTCTATTTTTAGCAGAGATGAGGTCTCACTTTGCTGAAGCTGGTTTTGAACTCCCGAGCTCAAGCAATCCTCCTGCTTCAGTTTCCCAGAGTACTACAATTACAGGCATGAACCACTATCCAGCCTCTTTAAGAAACAGGGTCTTTCTCAGTCACCCAGTCTGGAGTGTAATGGTATGATCATAGCTCACTGCTGCCTCCAATTCTTGCAATCAAGTGATCCTCTTGCTACAGCCTCCCAAGTAGTTGAGACTACAGGCGTATGCCACTATGCCCAGCTAATTTTGTAATCTTTTGCAAAGACTTCAGTCTCACCATGTTGCCCAGACTGGACTTGAACCCTTGGTCTCAGTGATACTTCCACCTTGCCTCCCCAAGTGCTGGGAATATAGGTGTGAGCCACCACGCCCTCCAGCCCCTTTCTTGTTCACCATTGTATTATGGAAGAGTGTCTGGCACATAGTAATATGCCATTAATATTTGAATAAGGCCCAGTGCAGTGGCTCATGCCTGTAATCCTAGCACTCTGGGAGGCTGAGGCAGGTGGATTGCCTGAGCTCACAGGTTCGAGACCAGCCTGAGCAAGAGCGAGACCCTATCTCTACTAAAAATAGAAAAACTGTGGGGGTGGCGCCTGTGGCTCAAAGGAGTAGGGCGCTGGCCCCATATACCAGAGGTGGTGAGTTCAAATCCAGCCCTGGCCAAAAACCACCAAAAAAGAAAAATTGAGGCAAGAGTATCACTTGAGTCCAGGAGTTGGAAGTTGCTGTGTGCTATGACACCACAACACTCTACCCAGGGCAACAGCTTGAGGCTTTGTCTCAAAAATATACGTTTTAATTATTTTTAACGTACTTACAGAGTTGTTCAGTCATCAGTACAATTTTAGAAAATTTTCATCACCCCCAAAGAAACCCCATATCCTTTAGCAGTGGCTGCCCATCTTGTCCTCTGTCCCTGGGCCAGCCCTAATCCCTTTCTGTCTCTGGATTTGTCTGTTGTACGTATTTAACATAAATGGAGTCATGCAATGTGTAGGCTTTTGTGAATGGCTTTTTCCACTTAGCAAGACGTTTTCAAGGTTCATCCGTGCTGTCTCGTGTATCAGTACTTCATTCCTTTCTATTGCCAAATAATGCCTACAAATTGGATGTACAGTGGTCTGTTTATCTGTTCGTAAGTTGATAAGGTCTTCCTGCTTTTTGGCTACCATGAATAATGTTGCTATGAACACTCATGTACAGATTTATGGTAACTCTGTTTTTAACATTTTGAGAAACTGCTGGGGCTATACCATTTTATATTCTCATCAGCAGTGTATGGAATTTCCAACTTCTCTGCTTATTGGTCATTTGTATATCCTCTTTGGGAACAAATCTCTATTCATATCCTTTGCCCATTTTTTTTTTTTTTAAGACAGAGTCTCGGGTGGCGCCTGTGGCTCAAGGAGTAGGGTGCCAGCCCCGTATGCCGAGGGTGGCTGGTTCAAACCCAGCTCTGGCCAAGAAACTGCAAAAAAAAAAAAAAAAAAAAAAGACAGAGTCTCAAGCTGTCATCCTGGATACAGTGCTATGGCGTCACAGTTCACAGCAACCTCTAACTCTTGGGCTTAAGCAGTTCTCTTGCCTCAGCCTCCCAAGTAGCTGGGACTATAGGTGCCTGCCACAACGCCCGGCTATCTTTTGTTGTTGTTGCAGTTACCATTGTTGTTGGCAGGCCTGGGCTGAGTTCCAACCCACCAGCTCCAGTGTATGTGGCTGGAGCCCTTGCTGCTAAGCTACAGGCACCAAGCCCCTTTACCCATTTTTAATTGAATTATCTTTTTGTTATTAAGAATTCTTTTAATAGGCTCAGCACTTGTAATACAGTGGTTAGGGTGCCAGCCATATACACCAAAGCTGGCAGGTTCAAACCCAACTCGGGCCAACTAAACAGCAATGCCAACTGCAACAAAAAAATAGCTGGGCGTTGTGGTGGACGCTGTCGTTCCAGCTACTTGGGAGGCTGAGGCAAGAGAATCACTTAAGCCCAAGAGTTTGAGGTTGCTGTGTGTTATGACACCACAGCACTCTACCAAGGGCAACAACTTCAGACTGTCTCAAAAAAAGAAAAAAGCTTTTAGTATTCCAGATACATGTCTCTTATCAGATACACAATTTAGCAATATTTTTTCTCGTTCTGTGGATTATCTTTTCATTTTTTTTTTTGATGGTGTCCTTTAAAGCATAAAAGATTTTAATTTTGATGCAGTCCGATTTCTTTTTTATCACTTACACTTTTGGCTTAGTGGTTATGAAAAGTTACTCCTATATTTTCTATGAAGAATTTTGAGGCTCAGCATAGGCCACATACACTGAGGCTGGTGGGTTTGAACCTGGCCCGGGCCTGCCAAACAATAATGACAACTACAACAAAAAAATAGCTGGATGTTGTGGTAGGCACCTGTAGTCCCAGCTACTTGGGAGGCTAAGACGAGAGAATTGCTTAAGCCCAAGAATTTGAGGTTGCTGTGAGCTGTGATGCCACTGCACTCTACCAAGGGTGGCATAGTGTCTCAAAAAAAAAAAAAAAGAATTTTGAGGTTTAGCTTTTAAGTCAGGGGTCCTCAAACTTTTTAAACAGGGGACCAGTTCACTGTCCCTCAGACCATTCGAGAGCCGGACTGCGTGCCCCGGGACGAGTTGGCTGCCAAGCAGGACAGGCAGCAGTGGCAAAAACACCAGGCAGGTTGCATGTGTCCCATGGGCCATAGTCTGAGGATGCCTATCTTAAGTCTTTGCTCCCTTTGGAGTTAATTTTTGTGTATAGTGTGGAGAAAGTGGTCTAGTATCATTCTTTTGCATGTGAATATCCAGTTGTCTTGGCACCATTGGTTTAAAAGGCTATTTTTTTTTTCTGTTTGTCTTTTATCCTTGATGAAAATTTGTTGACCATAAATTTAAGAGTTTGTATCTGTACTTTATGTATTTATTTATTTATTTGAGACAGAGTTTCAGTCTATCACCCTGGGTAGCATTGTGTCAGCCTAGCTCACAGCAACCTCAAACCTTAGGCTCAAGCAGTCTGCCTGCCTCAGTCTCCCAGAGTGCTAGGATTACAGCCACCACAAAATGACTTTTATCAGAGCAAGTCTTCTCTCTATTTCTAGTTTATTGAGTGTTTTTATCATGAAAAAATGTTAGGTTTTTGTCTAATGCTTTTTCTGTGTTTGAGATGATTATGTGAGGGGGGTTTTCTTTATTACATTAATTGGTTTTTGGAAGTCAAACCAACCTTGCATTTTTGAGAATCCACATTTTTTTTGAGTGACTCTTCTACACAAGATTATGAGCTTCAACAGGGCTGTGACTAAAGTCCCCAAAAGGGCTCAACAGGGGCCTTGTTACAAAGTAGACAGTAAGTACTTGCTGAGGGAATGAGTGCAAAAACAAACCAGTGTAAAATTATTGAAACAACCTCATTTACCCCATTTCACTATTAATTGAAAAGGCAAGGTGGCCAAATTTGTATGGTGTGTGCATCCCAGAGTCTGAATCCCCCTTCCTGAAGGGGTGTTGACATCCTATACACCGTCTTTTAAAGTCTGCTTACCAGGGCTGGGGGAGCTGATATGATCATTCTCTCCCCAGGCCAATTGTCCATGGCCAACTCTGGCTCAAACATCAATGGCTCCCAGTTCTTCCTGACATGTGACAAGACAGATTGGCTGGATGGCAAGCACGTGGTGTTTGGAGAGGTCACCGAGGGCCTAAATGTCTTATGGCAGATGGAGGTATGTGCTGGGGAATGGGCCTCTTCCTCACCTGGGTTCATGGTGCACAGCCTGGGGGAGGGCTGGAGAGGGAGCTCTGTGCTGTGAGAGACATGGGCCAGGGCTGCTTCCGCCCAGGTTCCAGGGTGGGGGTGGGTGTCCCTAAGCCACTCTTTATTCTTACCCCCCATTCCCCTGGCTTCTATTCCGCCTACAAAGGCCCAGGGCAGCAAGGACGGGAAGCCAAAGCAGAAGGTGATCATCGCTGACTGTGGGGAGTATGTGTGAGAGGCGCTTCCTGTGCTCCCCTCTGTCTGCTCTCACCCCTGTGGATCCAGAAGGGAGCTCCCAGCCTCAGCTGTTTGGAGCAGGCAGCATTTGTGGCATGAGCCCTTTCTCAGGGTCAGCTTGGAGCAGCTCCTCTGTGGGCACAGCCTGGACTTTTCCCAGGTGTGGCTGTGGGCCCAGAGCCAGCATGGGGGTCACCCTCCCACCGTGGGCAGGCTGTGCACAGACTCTGACTTTTCCTGGCATTCACTGCTAAGTCTGTCCTGGGCACACCGGCTGGCACCTGGGATATTTTTGTTACTAAAATAAAATGCTGTTTCTTGTACTGCTACCTCTGGCCAGGTGCCAGATGTTTGCAGAGGTTGCAGCTGGAACAGGCCATAGCATCTTCCCCAAGGCTACCCTTGCCCTGGAGGCCAAATCATTGAGAATACAAGTTGTTAGTCCATTGCAGGACAGCAGAAGGCAAAACCATGCAAATTCCCCTCCACCCTCCTTTCTTTCCTCCCTCGCTCCTTTATTCTTTGTCTTCTTTCCTCTTTCTCCTTGTTTTCCCTCTCCCTCTGCACACACACACATACACAAGCTTTTCTCTGGCTACCAGGCAGGCAAGTGTGTTAGCCAGGCTCCCTTCATGTTCTCTCACCAACACAACTGTCAGAACTATATTACTACTGAATCTCCAGGGCCCTTCTTTTGTGAGGCTTTGTGCTTGGTGCTGGGTAGACATGACAAGCCAGAGGTACCTCCTGGCTTCCCCCACCCCCAGGCCTGCCTGGAAATTGCAGTCTGGTGCTGTGGTTTGTAGCCTGTGCTAGGCTGGCCTCTTGCCCTATACAAATTGGGCCAGCCAGGCCACCTCTCAGCATCTTAGTGCTAAGGCCAAGCCACTCCATCACCAAAAACCTCCCCCCACGGGCCACCCCCTGTTTCCATGTAGCTCTGTCTGGATGAGTTCTGACATTGAGCATCTTCTAGGCTGGACTGGTTGACTCCACCTATGTTGTCAGGGTGGTGCCTGGCAGGGGGAAGACAGGCTTGCTACCCTGGCCCCAAGTAGCCCATGCCAGCTCCACCTCTGCTGCTGGGGGCTCACCTGGGTTCTACATTCATGTGGGGCTTCTGTCCTGTCATCAGCTGGGCCTGCTCCCTGGGCTGGACTACACTGCCTGCAGTGTACTACAAGGGACCCTTTAACATTCCCTCTTATGGGTCGTGGCCTTTAGGATGGGCAGCAGTGAGGCCAGCTACTCAAGGCTACTGTGATGCCCAGGAGGGAAGAGGGAGTGTGTGAAGGGCTGGCTCCAGGGGTGACATACAGGAAGGGGGAGCAGGCCCAAGGCCCTGAAAGGGAAGACTGGTCAAACAACCCTGTTAGGAAAGGGGGCTAGTTGTGGGGGATGTAGGAGGTCTTTGTGGCTGTGCTTTCCTGGTTGCCCTGAGAATGTGGGTCCATGGGACTAGCCAAAGAGGCCAGTGGAAGGGGAGCCATCGTGTGGCCTCCCTAAAAGTTATCCTGCTGGGTCCACTGTGACCATTGTACACTGAGGTCACCTGAGGCTTGGAGGTGAGGTGCCTCTCCCATCTCAGCCACCCATTTCCTTCAGCAGGGTCCTCCCCTCTTCTCTTGCCAGGTGCTGCACAGAGGAAGACAGAAAGTTCTGGTGAGGGATCCCGGCTGATAGCCAGCCTGTGACCTGACCTGACTACCCTCCTGCTCGCTTCTCCGGTCACGGGAGCCCCCCGCTGCCCTCTTAGGAACCAGTTGTGAGACCTGCTATGTGAAGGGGATAATTGAGGCAGAACTCAAGGGATAGAACACAACTAAAGATTATGTTTCTAAAGAACATTTAATAATGGTCAAAATATGTCATAAATTGAATAAATCAGCTAACCCAGCAATGCATACAGTGTGACCCTAACTTTATGAAATATCCATATACCGCATATAAAAACAAATGTGTGCGCCAAGAAAAAAAACAGGAAGGAATTACTAGCACAGGTGAGCTCTTGTGGTATGGAGCATGGCTGTTTGCATTCCATTTTTAGTTACCAAATTTTCACCAGCACACATTATATTTTCTAAAGTGAGAGGAAGATTTAAAAAGGGGGGGCAGTAATGCTTGCTCAAGGCTTTCCAGTAAGAAGAGAAATGTGGGATAGAAAGTTTCCCATCAGCTTGCAGAGAGGACACGGAGCTGAGGGAGTCACTGCCTCAGGGAGACGCCAGCATCCTGGATCACTGTGGGCCCAGACTCCTTCCACAAGCAGGTGAGGGTGCAGGCCACACCTCATCCCCAGAGATGACTGTGTTTAGGTATTTTAGGAAAGCACAGTTTTGAGGTAAATCCAGCAGCCCCTCCAGGGCACATTCCAGGAGGAGAGGGGCATGCAGGACAGGCCCATGTTTACAATCTGTTGAAATGGGTCTGGTCGTAGGTACTATTTATTACACGTGTCTGCATGGTGCCAAGAGCCCTGCGGCACATCTGGCCCTCGTGGCCTCACAGAGGCAGATACCCCCCTTCTCCAGAGGAAGGAACAGGCAAAGAGGATGTGTAATGTCAGCTCTGCTTGACCCTCACACCTGCCTGCTCCTGCTCACAGCCTCAGTGGAATTGTGGGGATTTATGTTACCCACTTTCTAGAGCTCACCTGGCATCAAGCCCAGCCGTGGGCTGCAGTTGTGAAGACAGCACTGAATGTGCGCTTCCTTTGTGTCCTCCCCGTCAGTGCTGGCTTCTCGCTGCCAGTGGGCCGAGCGGGCCACCCTTACTTAACACTTGTAATGTGCAGCCTTGAACATATCCTGGGCCAGGCAGCCAGACCAACAAGATGGCCTTGGCGACAGCACTAACCCTCCTCAGCTTGTGTCTGTAATAATCTCCTTTTTCAGATGTCTTTTCAATTGGATGTCATTTGGTGTTGCCTGGATGGCCAGCCATCGGGAAGGCTGTGACCATGCTCTCCTCTGGGCACCCACCAGGCAGGCAGGCTGCATCTTCAGAACATTTATTTCACAGTGGCCAGCTTGTATGCTGGGCACTAAAGAGAGACCAAAGACTGACATTTGTCAAAGTGTTCAAACATCGACTGTCACTAATGGTGAGAGGAGACAGCTGTTAAGTTAGGTTCTAAAATGGCAAATGGACACCATGTCCTGAGCCAGCAGGGCTCTCAGGCCTGGGGAGAGGGTCAGGGTGGCACAGATTGTCTGGCCAGCAGGGCCTTTGGAATGAAGAAAGCACTGTGTGTTCATGGCAGAGATGGGAAGCTGAGGTGTGACTAAGAAAGGGGACTTGTTCTGACACCAAGCCAGTGGCTGACCAGAAAGCTGGTCTCCTGAGATGGAGGCCAGTGTCATGTCCACTCTCTGCCAGCCTGTGTTTGAAATCTTAGGCTAATGGGGAGCTCACCACCTTCCAGACAGCTGGGGCCCACTCTCGTGTACAGGGGACGGTGTCTTCTGCGCTGGTCCAGGTTGGGGACACTGTCCTGCAACAGGGCCCAGCCTCCAGCCCTGTGGCCAGCCCTGCTCTCCTTCGGGCCCATCCTCAGGGTGCAGCGCGTGAACTCTAGGGAGGCATGTCCTTGGGCACCCTGGTGGCTCCACCTCGCCTGGGTGGGGCAGGCCCAGGGTCCGCTTTTAATGGCACAGTTCAGGCAGCCAGACTCTGTCTGTTCCAGCAGGTAAATTACAGGCCTAGCAAGTCAGAAATCAAATAAACACCCCAGCTCCCAACAGCTGCTCCAGGGAGAACAGTGGTTTCCCGAAACAGCAGGGGCTGAGACAAACCTCCCCACCCAGCTCAGTCTAATGACCACCTGTCACTTCCAGGGACAGGGACTTTTTCTTTGACTCACAGGCCCAAGACACAGGACAGGGCTGCTGGGCACCCAAGGTGATGCAGACTTTGGTGACTAGCCTGTTCTGAACTCCAGACATAAGCAAAGGTTGCCCAGTCACATGCTTTGGGCAGCATGGATGGCTCCTCAGTGGGCAGGAAGGAGAAACTGAGTTCATGCCAACTGAACAGCTGGTGGTGGCTGTAGCTCCATGCTGAAGTCCTGAGGCCCTGGCCAGGTTCAGTGGGAAAGGTACACAAGTTGCTGATAGATACTGGCTATGGGCAAGAGGGTAAGCTGTGGTGGCATTTCCTCTGCCAGGCTGGATGGACCACACGCTGGAGCCACTGTCCTTGCTTCTGCTGTGAGTTAACGTTATCTCACTGCTGACCCTGATGTGAGTCAGTGTAGTGAGGGCAGATGAAGGAACGTGAAGCTCCCGGGTTCATTGGCACTCACCAAGCAGAAGGGGCAGGCACAGGGCCAGAAAGACACTCGCTGTAACATGTACCCACCAGCTTCAGCCTGAGGTCATGGAGCCCATCCAGTCTGTTCTTTTATAATACACTAACTGTGCCATAAGCCAAGTTACAGGAACCCAGTGACACATGGTGCTGGGGATGTGTGCACGTCTAATTATGCCCCAGAAGTGTGCCTGTGCTACACACACCTGGGAAGGGGAAGAGCCCTTCTGCCCACTTCCAAACCCTGTGGTCAGCTGCAAGGCCCAACTTGGCCAACCTCAGACCATCCAGCCTCAGCCACAGTCTGGGCCTGCAACCGCTGGAGGTCCTAACATAGGATGTCCGTGTTGACCCCAGACAGTGCAACCAGCACACTGTCCAGCTCCAAGGCCGCTGGGTGCATTACGCCACCAAAGGATTGGGCAGGGAGACAGCTGGTCAGGAGGATGGAGGAACCTGGAAAGGACCAGAAACCTGGTGGGAAGTAGGCAGGAGAGATGATGGGCTCCCTGCCAGCCCAGCCTGGGCTGTTGCCGAGTCTGAAGGCGTCCTGCCCCTGGAGCAGCGCCTGACCCAGGTGGGAAGGGGGGGCCAGCAGGGCTGGGCGGGTGGGCTCAGTGGCACCCGCAGGCCTTGACAACCATGTTACGGTGCTTCCGAAGGATAACATTGTTGCTGCTGTCATAGTAGAGCACGGAGGTGGCGCTCAGCTTGGTGGGCGCGCAGCACGCCTTGGGGACCAAGTCCGGCTTCATCAGGTGCACCTGGACAGGGAGGGGCACAGGCGGGGGCATAAGCCCTGCAGCCTCCAAGGCCCCCCAGCTCGACCTGCTCCCTGCCCTGCACCACATCTAGCACATCTGAGAGCCACCCAAGGGTAAGAGCAACCCTTCGGTGCTCAGGGAGCAGGAACATGGGACCACCTGTGCCCAGGGAAGGACATGTGACAGGGGTGTTGGGCACGTCTACAGGCAGCTAATGAGGGCCCAGGCTCAGACTTCCTCCTGAGGACAGCAGGAGGACCGACAGCCTCTCGCCAGGAGCAATGTGGTCAGGTTTGTGTCTACCAGATCCATGGCTGCTATGGGGAATGGCCCCAGGAGAGCCCGCAGGGACCCGCTTTCTTCTCTGGGCCCTCAGGTCACCAACTCTGCCCCTCCCCTTCCTCTCCTGGGATCCCTGGGGCTCCTCTCCCTGCCCAGGCCTTGACCACCCTCCCCAGGTCTCACCTTCCCCCTCAGAGGACTCTCAGCTCCTAAAGAGCCCACACACTTCTCTAACCTCCCAACATCAGCTCGGATCCCTGCTCTGAACACCACTGGCGCGTCTAACTGCCCACTGACTTCTCCACTTGGGGCCAACAGCCTCAAGCAGAACTGCTATTGTCCTGCACCCCAACAGCAACTCTGCCCCTGTGCCAAATCCTCCATCCTTGTCCTTGATCTCCTCACCCAGCAGGTGCTCTGGAGGCCCCTTGATCCCTCTCCCTGCTCCCTGGAGCAGCCCCACCTGGTCTGAGCCGCCATCACCCCCCATCAAGTGACCAAAGCAGCCCTCACTGGTCCCCCGCCTCTCCCACCACTGACCCCTACAGCCCACCCTCTCACAGCAGCCAGGCCCTGCTGACACCCCTCCCCCCCTTATTCCAAGTCAGCTTCTTAGGGGACTTGGAATAAGACCCATCCTCCTTTCCAACGATGTCCCAGGCCCAAGGGGAGTGACCCTGCCCATCCCCAGCATCATGGCCCTCCATCCCCCTTAGCTTGCCGCACCCAATCCTGCCTCCTGCTGGCCCTGAACCCCCCAAGCTCGTTCCTGCCTCACAGCCTCACACTTGCTTCTTCTGCCTGGGAAACTCCTCTGACGTGGTTCCTCCATGTGCAGAGAGGCCCAGCCTGGCACTCACCACCAGAGGGGCCATCTTCTCTTGGTCACAGGACACGTGGTTGCAGTGGTTGGTGGGTGACTCAGCTATTCACCCACAGCCTCCCCCACAGACGTGCCCATCATCTTTCTGCCTGGCAGGTAGGGAGCACCCACTTTTGTTGAGCCACTGAGGGGCTGGGCTGAGACAGTGGCAGGAGTGTGGGGCAGAGGGGACGGGGTGCTGGGAGGCACGATCACCTCCCCAAGAACCTCCCTCACCTGGGCCTGAGAGCAACAGAGCAAAGGGCAGGCTGGGCAGGGCCACCTCGCTCGTCCTATCACCCCCTGATTGTCCAGGTGTCCAGCAAATGCCAGGTGCCCCTGACAGAGGAAGCGTCGTCACAGCCCCAAAGCCACTTTTGTCATTTGCTTTATTCTCACCAGAGGCATCGCCTTTAAACAACCTCTTACTAGAAAAACCTGAGGCTGAGGGATTCTAGCAACTAGGGTTCCAGGTAAAAAGTTCTGGAAGGGAGTCGACCCCAGAATTGACACTCGGCAACAAGCAGCAGCGACCATGTTCCCACCAGAAACTCCTCATCCTTTACAGTCGCCCCGACACTGACACATCAAAAGCCACATGGTCTGGAGAGGACTCAAACCTGCCTGGAGCTTTCTCAGATGCTTTGGACTCCCAGGCTGGGCGGGCACAATGACCAGCACATTGTGATCTCGCTGCTTCCCTTTACCTTCTGTGTTGTCTCCCGGAAACGGCAGACTGAGAGGATGACAGCGTGGACACGCCGTCCATCACTAACCTGTGACTCCTGACTCAGCCCTCCTGCACACCTGGCTTTCAACACAGCTGCCCACTACACATGTAGCCACCTCCCTGAACCCTTGCAAAAACCTCACCCTGGGTTTGTTGGGGAGACAGATTTGAGACCTTTCTTGTGTCTCCCAGGTGACATCGTCTGCAATAAATGATCAGTCTTCCTTGGCAATCTGTTGCCTTGGTAACTGGCTTTCTGTGCAGAGAACAACGGGCCCTGGGCCAGAACCCCCCTTGTAGGTTCCATAACAAGACATACACTGCACACAGGCACACGTGTGCAACAAGATCACGCAGGTCCCCGTGCTAACATGCCTCTTTCCTGTGTGTGTGCTGTGCCTCTGACCCTCAGGAGCGGTATTTGTCAGTATGGGCGTCCACGCACAGGGACGTAAGTGACCCTCATGAACACGTGCAGTGTGTGGGATTTGCATGTTTACTTGAGCACTCGGTGTAAGAGTGGGGTGTGCCTGTGTTCAGGGGTGAGTCCACACGTCCTCTGCAGAGTTGTGGCATTTAACTACATTACCGACTCCACGCAGAGAAGGGTCCCTGAGACCCAGAGCAGGTGCCTTCACTGCCCTCCTGGCTGGACCATCCCCTCTCCTCAGGGTCCCCCCACCTGGGGCCTGGGCATGGCCGGTGAGGTACTGACCAGGGACTGCAGGATGGCGTGGTTGGTGGCGTTCATGCAGGAGTCCAGTGGGAAGGAGCACTCCCCCTCACAGTAATAGGCTGAGTAGCCTTGAGGGGCGATGACCCAGTCCTGGGGGGTGTGGGAGAAGGTGAGTCCCATCACATGTCCCTCCTCAGCCCCTCAGTCCTGTCAGAGGACTTGTCACAGGACGACCCAGGACTGCCCCTCACCCTCTCTGACCCTTGGGGCCTATCTACCCACCCTCAGCCCCGGCAGGGCAGCACACCCCAGGGGCCAGAGTCCACCCAGGGACCCTCAGCAGGCAGGGCTGAGCACGAGCTCTGTCCCCTCACGCCCACACACACGCTGCATCCTCCCAGCCCGTCCTCCCTCCCGGGCCCCCAGGGCTGCAGTAGCAGCATTGCAGGGAGCCCCTGCCGCCCCATCTCAGGTCCCTATAGCAGCGCTGACAGATTAGCTGTCTTTGTTTTCATGGTTTTTACAAAAACAAAACAACAAAACCCTTCTTCACTATGAGTAATGTATGTTCACTTTAGAAAACACAAAAGAGGGCGGCTCCTGTGGCTCAAAAGGGTAGGGCGCTGGTCCCATACGCCGGAGGTGGCGGGTTCTAAACCCAGCCCTGGCGAAAAAAAAAATGGCAAAAATAAATAAATAGAGCTTATCTTAAGAAAGAAAGAAAGAAAGAAAGAAAGAAAGAGAGAGAGAGAGAGAAAGGAAGAAAGAAAGAAAGAAAAACAAAAATTGAAAATTGGGGCTCAGTGGCTCACACCTATAATCCCAGACTTTGAGAGGCCAAGGCTGAGACCAGGCATTCATGACCAGCCTGAGCAACATGGCAAGGCCCGATATCTACAGAAAATGAAAGTAAATAAAGATTAGAAGGGCACAGTGGGGCCTGACCAGCTATTGGGAGGAATGAGGATCCCTTGAGCCTAGGAGTTTCAGGTTGCTGTGGTGTCACCGATGGTACTCCAGCCCAAGCAAAAGAGCGACATCTTGTCTTTAAAAAACCAAAAGAACTCTAGGTTAGAGCAGGGAAGGGCTCGGTGTGGTGACTCATGTTGTGACCCCAGAATTTGGGGAGGGAGGCTGAGATCAGAAATTCAAGACCGGGCTGGCAAAATAGTAAGACCCCGTCTCCGTAAACAATAAAAATTAGCCAGGCATGATGGTGTGCACCTTTAGGCCCAGCTACTTGGGAGCTGAAGTGGGATGATTGATTGAACCCAGGAGTTCCAGGCTGCAGTCGAGTATGATCACGTCACTGCACTCCAGTCTGGTGACTGAGAAGACGGTGTCTTAAAAAAAGAAAGGCCAGGCACGGTGGCTCACACCTGTAATCGTAGCATTCTGGGAGGCTGAGGCAGGTGGATTGCCTGAGCTCAAAGTTTCCAGACCAGCCTAAGCCAAAGCAAGACCCCATATCTAAAAAATAGCCAGGGTTGTGGCAGGCGCCTATAGTCCCAGCTACTCGGGAGGCTGAGGCAAGAGAATCACTTGAGTCAGGAGTTTGAGGTTGCTGTGAGCTATGACACCATGGCACTCTACCAAGGGCAATGAAGTGAGACTCAAAAAAAGGGAAAATGGAAGTCACTCATAATTCTACGTCCTGCCTGCAGACCCACGTATGATCTACAGGTGGGGATTTTCATATAAGGAAGAAGCATGAGAAATTACCAGCCAGCCGAGGTCCTGGAAGCTGACGTAGAGCTCGTGCCGACGGCAAACCTGCCGGCCGCTGGCGCCGTGGATGTCATCTGCAGGGACAGGTGGCAGCAGGATTTTTCTGAGTCTCTGCTCTGTGCAGCTATCCTGGGGTACTAGGGTGGGGGCACCCTGCTGGGCATGTTTGCTGAGTCAACAAATGACAGGAAACCACTTGGTCTCATAAAGCCTACCCCTGGAGTTCTGCCTGTCCCATGACCCAGCTCAAGAGCCCTGCAGGCTCCCATGGCCTCCCCTGCCTTTCAGCCTTGGGCCTCCTGAGGCTCTGATAACAGCCCAGCAGGACCCTCAGCCACCCTGTGCTGCCTTCTCCTTTACTCTGGGGACTCCTGCTGCCTCCTGCCACCCCCATTCCACACATTCAGATGGCTCACCTTGAGGCCAAAGGGCTGACTCCCTGTGAAGGAGCACACGTGGCGGGTCAGGCCTATCTCTGATCCTGAGGGGCATAACTGGGGTGGGGGGAGACTTTCACTCAAATAGCTGAGGATCCTGCAGGGTGCCCAGGAAGGGACTGGGACAGCCAGGAGGACAGGGATGGGGACTTCCAGGGGTCAAGGATAGCCAGGGCAGAGGCTCCGAGGCCTGGAAAGAGTGGAGTGGCCAGTCAGCACAGTGCATCAGAGCAAAGACAGCGTCAGGGACGGTTTCTGGACAGTGACCAGTGTTTAGCCCCGCGGGTTCTGTGCCGCCTCTCTCAGCCCAAAGCTGCCTCGGGCCTCACCGAAGATCCCCGGGAGTCTGTTGGGGTGTGGCAGCTCGTTGGTTCTTTTCGGCTGCCTCCTCTTTAGTGGCCTCACTGCCCGAGGGGCACGCACGGGACTCGCACTGGCCCTGAAGAAAGTGACCAGGAAAGGCTGTCTGGAGCGTGGTGCCCGTTGCCCCAGCAGACCAGCCAGGTCAGGATCCACGCTGTGCCCTGAGACAGAGGAGAGAGGGGGTCACTCATAGGCAGGGGCTCTGCACACAGAGGGACCTCTCCCTCCTGCAATCCAGGGGCAGGGAGACTGAGGCCCGAGGGGACCCGCTGAGCCTCAGCTTCCTCATCTGAAGCCCTTGTCTCAGTCCAGCCCTAGCCCCCTGGTGGCAGATGGAGAGGAGGTGGTGGGTGAGGGGCCTCAGTGAGCCACAGGCTTTGTTATTAGTGATAATCGTAATACAGATGTTTGCAACCCATTTTACAAGTTGCAGAGAATTTCCACACTGGTCACTTCATTCTGTCTTTACAGTAATGTCACAGAAGACACTTCAGGGGCCTTCTGTGGTGACCCAGAACCCCTGTAAGTGACTCCCAGAATAGGGCTCCCACCTCACTCCGAGGACTCTGAGGCATGTCCCATTTCTTGCCTGCACTGTCTGGAGTCTGAGTGTGTAATCTCTGAGTGGGACAGCTCTGGGCAGCACGTGCCAGGTCAGCAAGTACTCGTTCTGCTGGATACAACTCGAGTCAAGGCCTTGACTGGCTCCCTGATGCCACAAAGGAGACACCAGGTTTTCCAAGGCAGAGACCCTATACCCCAGTCCCAGAGCCCAGGACTTGACACATATCAGGCTAATTCCAGAGCCCAAGTTCCTATTCACGCGGCTAGACTTACGATCAAGAAAAAGAAAAGAGGGGATCCGTGCCTGTAGCACAGTGTAACTGGTGTCAGCCACATACACCTAGGCTGGCAGGTTTGAACCCAGCTGGAGACTGCTAAACAATAATGACAACTGCTACAACAACAACAAAAAAAGATAGTCAGGTGTTGTGGTGGGCGCCTGTAGTCCCAGCTACTTGGGAGGCTGAGGCAAGAGAATCTCATAAGCTCAAGATTTAGAGGTTGCTGGGAGCTGTGATGCCATGGCACTCTACCGTGGGCAACACAGTGAGACTCTGTTTCAAAAAAAAAAAA